TGGCGCCTATTATACATAAAAAAAATGAATAAATGTGTATTTTTATTGCTAAAGTATTTTTCAATGAGTGCCTAGCACCATAAATTATTTGTTAGAGTAATTTTATCTTTAAAATAATTAAAATGGAGCATTTTTGCTCTTGCCATTAAACTCCCAATGTTAATAGTTAGAAATATTAATCAATACTCCAATGTTGACCATTAGAGAATTTAATGAAAAGGACAAATATCTCTTTTTTAATTACTTTGAAAATAAAATTACTCAAATCAATAGTTTAAAATGTTAGATACTCCTTGGAAAATATTTCAAAGGCAAAAATGCACCTTGATCCTAAAAAAATTTAAAAAAATTGATCTTTCCTATAAGAGGTGAGATTGCTTATAAAAGTTTATTTTTTTTTATGCTTACAATACTTTATATATATTTAGATCTCTTTTTAATCGAAGTGATATATAATATATCATATAATTAAAATCTATAACAAAATGCATTTTTCATCAGTCATGAATAAAAGTCCATATTCGTTATATGGCACAGAAAACGCATTTAATTTAATTTAATTATATTATATATATTGTTAAACCATGATTAATTATTGTGACGTACATCTACCAATACAATAGCTCAAGTAGGCTTGAATAATTAAGTGTTAGGAAATAGGAGGATAAGAATTTATAGGTTTGAATAAAAAAGAATCGAACCAACTTAGTCGTGCGGGCAAATATAATGTTAAATTATGCTGATGCTTCCACCCATTCATTTGATTCTAATAAGCTGTCAACTTCAACATGTATCGATCACTTGAATTTTGATAAGAAACCAGTCATTAAATTGTTTTGAATTAATTAGTAATATAGACTTTCCAACAAAGAGTGATTACACATATATAATCACGATTTAGCTGACTGTGATGATGTTGCGCGGCCACCATGATGGGGCCAAAACGATAATAATGTCATATTAAGTACTACGGATTAACTGGTTAAACCCATTTATTATTCATTAAGCTTCATTTAACAGGGAGAGCGGAATAATAATTAATCCAAGTCATAATGAGTAGAATTATTATGCTAATCTATGTAAATTATATATTGCTGTACACTCACCATCATGGAATTATTGTTTAAACGATATGAGGTCCTTAAAAGATGCGAGACAGAGCACTTTACAAAAACCTATATAAAATAACCTACGACAATGTAGAATCCTAAGAAAAAATTGTGGATTCTTTTTTTCCTCATTATTATTTTCATTTTGATATTTTAATAATAATTTTTGTTTTAAAAATATAACAAACATTGAAAATAACTTTTGAACTATACAATATTAAAAGAAATAAGAGACATAAACTTCGAACGATCCCTATTAATTTTAAACAACGCATATTTTTAAGTTTGATTCTTTAATTTATTTACTACTTAAAATTAAAATCTAATGTTACATATATAATACACAGAAACAAGAATTTTGGAGAGTATCGATTCAAACCATATTCCCTGTCCAGCTCAACATGATTCAATTCAAAAAACTAGATTTAAGTGCTTTATGTAGCTTGTTAGGGTTAACTAAGCTTAGGCCATTAGGTGACCTTTGTTCTTAGAAGAAGATAACCTTTGAATGTGACATGGGGGTACCTTTTGAAAATAAATGAGTTGAAACTTCGAAGAGATGAACCGTTCAAAAAACGAAGTCAAATATTCTGTGCTTGTAAACTTTGACCCACCAAAGTATAGCTCAACATTCAAAACACACTAATATAATGCCGGCTTAGATTCAGATGGTTTCCCTTTTGTTTTGGTAAAAATAATACCAAAGGTCAGCTTACACAGATGGATTTTCCACAAAGAAAAGTAGAGAACAAACCTAAAGCTTAAAAATAACCTCGATCGAGCTAATATAATGACAAGGTATTACAATTCAACCAAAAAAAGAAGGAAGAATAATATTTAAGGCCTTCTTATGAGAACTTATCTCAATAAGAGCCTATTAATTTTGCATTGAATATTATCTTGTGAAAATATATATCAAATTTAAGTTTAGCTTTTAACCATAACATATGTGTACTCTTATAAGATAATATTCGATGCAAAATTAATATGCTCTTATTACAATAAATTCTCTTGTGACCACCTTAAATATCATTCTTCAAAAAACAAAAAAAAAAAAGGTTTTTGACAAGGTATCAGAAAACTCTTGCTCTTATTATTGTTCTTTTTATTGTTATTAAAACATAAAGGTGTGGCAGCCCAGTCAGAATATATTTTCACATACAGTCTTGGGCCTCTGACCCAACTAGAACAGACCTTAATATGTCAGGAACTATCAAGATAAATCTTCTGAATTGAAAAATAATCAAACTCCCCAAGTGTATTAGATTGAAAAAATGAATTTTTTATTTTTATTTTCCTTATTTTTCATTTTTGATCAAATTTTTTAAATTTAGCAAAGTATCCGACTCTTCAAAACATTTAGGATAGATCATCAATATCAATATAAAACATGAAATATGTAGGAAGTCATATAAGCTATCAAAAATGTAATTTCATGTGCCAAACTTTCATGGGACGCATGAGAAGCATGTCTAATTACACACACGCACTGACCGACATGTCTAATTGTATACATATGAAACATGTTTAAAGTCTTTTTTACTTTTTAGTGTCCTTTGTGTTTAGACTTTAAACACTTAAATGTAGGTTTCTTCTTGTATGGGGTCCATCTTAATTGGTTTTTTTTTTTTTTTTGCCGACATCTTAAATGTAGCCAAAACTTGGAAAATATTTTAAACGGAAACAAATATTAAAGGATAGAGGTAAATGATCAGGACTGGAAATATTGGTTAACCTTTCTATATATGCACAGTAGACATACAGTAGATATCAATTCACTGATTCAGACTCAACTCTTTGAAACAAGACAATAGTAACAAGAATTAAATGATTGCTTAAATATTATCAAGATATATTTCCTCTTGAAATTTAAAACAATCTCGTATGATCGGAATACTTTTCATATACATTATTCCTTTCCAAACATTTGAGATTTGATCATTTTTTAGTATCATATAACAAAGTTTCTGACAATCATTTGATTAAATTAAATGGATATTATCGAGCTACATGAAATACTTATTAAGTGAGTGAATTTAAATATTACACTGGATCCAAATCCAATTAAAGGTATATCTATTATGATAACTCTAACTGTCTTAACTATCATATTCAGATTCACATCAACATAGATGTCAATGATATCCTTCCAACTGAATCTGCACGAAGAAGTGATTATTATGGAAGAGCCACAGCATGTGCTCGAACAAAATGGCGTCCACATCAACGAAAATGGCTCTTTCTTGGCTTCTGGAATGGGACTTGGTCTCCATCAAAACCCTAAAAGGCTTCTCCTCAAGAACAAACGGGTCCACCATGAACACCCTCTTCTCTTTTCCTACTATCACACACACTTCTTCTGATGCCTCAAACCCATAATCTTTTCTCAACACCTCGTAATACATCAGACGACATCGCTTTCTCTTCCATGAAACTGCTAACATCAAGCATCTGCAATCCATTTCCATAGAAAGTTCGAAAGCTTGTATCTTCGCCTTGGAATGGAGTGTATAGCATAGGCTTCGAAGTTCACGCGTTTCTCTATTTTTTTCCCCCCTGATAAAGTGAGGTTTAATTTCTTTGCCGGCTCTGACTGGCCTCCGTTGATTCTTAGGAACATTGGCCCGCATGCGCACAAGTTATTCATGTTTAGCTTTTGCTTGCAAGACAATAATGTTGGACAAAAACATAATGGAAAGTAATACTACGTGTGTGTGTGTGTGTGTGTGTGGGCGCGCGCAATCCTATTTAAGATGTATGCATGATAATTGAGAACCAAGCAACTTATGTTCGTGATTAAACTTTACTATAATGCGTGTCGGCTACGTTTGTGTTTGCATTCTAAACATTTAATTAATCAGTGTTGTTGTCTGACTTGCTCATGTTACTGTAGTGTGTTTTCTTGGTCTTGCATGTATCGGATGTTCAGTTGCCTTTATTTGTACTTCATCTGGGCTTTGGTCCCTTCTTTTATAACCCATTATAACCCAAAAGGCATAAGCCTAGTACATAGAATAGTTGACCCAAATGATATATCAAAAGTGTGGGTGTCAAACTCGCAAGTCAAAGATTTCAACTCAGGAGCATGAGGTTAGCCTAACATGCTGTTTACATTGGGTTGGCAAGTACTTCATCAAGTTTAATTTATGATTTTGCCAGCCCAATAGAGGTCTCAATTATGAATTTTTGACAATCATGTCCATCGCTAGAAATAAATGGAGACTTCTTTGGTAATATGCTTTTTGAATTTAATGTTACCAGGGGGCCTTGGAGAACTTGAAGTGTCAACAACACTCTTCCATGTCCTGAATGTTATTCTCCCTTGTTCCTATATACATGTTTGATATAATTTGAATTAATGATATCCAGCATAATTCCTGAAAATTACTTATATCCCAAGAAAAGAAATCAAAATTGAGGATAAAAATTAAAAAATCAATTTATTCGTTGATTTTAAACTTCCATCAATATTCTATTGAATTGCCTAATTGCACGTTTTTTTGGCAAACCGTTAAGCAGGTAATGAATATATCAGATAAAGCAACCTGTTTTGTTTATGTATATTTAAAACATCCAGACAATACATGATCGAGTGTGCCTACAAATTTAACAACACTGTAATAGCTTATGCAAAGGAAAACTAATTAAAAATTTTCAAAACTTAATGATCTTGACAAGGAATTTTTATCCGTACAGATCGAATTGACAATTTTCAACTATCATCAACCACTGGATATCCAAATAAGAAAACTATGGAAATTTTTTGCCAAAAATACAGTCATCTATTGGATATCCAATGCTTGGTCGCTCCAAATAGAGGGAAAAATCTTCTAAACCTCATATCCAAATTAAACTACCTAAATATTGCCAAGATCAGCCTACTACAGGAAATAGAACATAGAAGCCAAAATACTTGTAGAAGCAATTCAGCATGACAGAATCTGGATACTAGAAAGCATATTCTCTGCTATAAACGCTGACAAGCTTTCAATTAAGAAAATATTCCTAAATCAACTGACACGAAGAGAAAAAAGGATCGATAACAGAATTCATATAGTTATGTAGCCTTCAGGATAGGCTCTTCTAAGATTGGTCCCCAATAATGGCAGTCAGCATCAAGAATATTGACCCTCTATCCACTAATCCATACATTTTCCTTGAAAATACCCCTCTTCTGCATCGTTAAGTCATAAGAGCATCTTTCAGGCCAAAAAAAAGTCAGAGCTTCTTCACTGCTGGGTCTGACCAGCCCATAGTTGATACATCTGCATATTGTGAATGGGCTGGTTAGTATTATTGTAGAGTCCAGGTCCCCTATTAAAATCACTATTATTGTCATTCTCATCAGAGGACTCAGATGAAGGGCCATGAGAGGTAGGGCTGGTAGGAGTCGCAGGTGCACCAAAATTTAACATTTGAGGGGCTTGTGCTGAAGAAGCCCCTGATTTCTGAATATTTGAGTTTGACTTTTTGCCATCAGCAATAAAGCTACCCACGATGACCTGTTAATAGTCAGAACAGTCACAAAAAATAATACTTCAGGCCATCCATCATGCATAAAAATGTCCCAGTAACAAGCAACATGATATTACTTCCTGGTCAGGAAAAGAAAGAATGATATTACTCAATGAGCTTTCTTTCATAATTAACAAATTCTCTACCATAGAGAGAGAAGAAATACCTGCACCGGTGATGCGGCAATTAGCATCCCAGCAACTCCACCACCTAAAACTTTACCATCTGAACCTGCAAGAGAGATGCTAAAACCACCTGCTCTGCTGCGACCATTATCTTCACATGGCAGGAAAGAACCTGATAGAGATATAATCTCGAATCTGCCCTGTAAAGGGAAATGATACCTTGTGAAAAGAAGTGATATCAAAACATGTTAAGTTACATAGTTTAAATTAATTTAACCACCAGTAGTGAATAATGAACATTCCGTATTTTGCCATATCCATATTTATTACAAAACATAAAGAGGAAAATAAATGCAGCTAAATGTAGTTCATCGTCAATAAAAACTATTAATATGGTTGTTGACTTCGTAGATATCCATTATTGGGGTAAAGAAACAAAAGTGTAGAAGACAAACAGGATGACACAGTAGCACATTACAAAATATGAACATTCATTGGGGGAAAAGAACCACATACGAATTTGTGTCTATGAATCAAAGTTTCACCCAGTGTCAGTCACAAACTTGTCCAAAGGGAACTCTACTGCAAAATCCCACCGATCCCACCATCCCTGATTGATTCAAAGTCCAAGTATTCCTAGCACATTAAGTCAGCATGAGTTTCTCCCTCGCTTCACCAGTTTCCATGGTCCAGAATTCCAGATACTTAAATAAAACCTCACATTCAACAGCACAAAACTCTTGTTCCCAGATTCTCATTTCTATAATTACCAATTCAAGGGAGCTAATAACCTTCATCATTTATAAAGTAATTTCAAATCCATAACTCATCAAAATGGCATATCTCATGTAACTATTTATACTTCCTCTATTTTGCATAAAAAATATAGGATTTCATGAGTTGCAAATTTAACTGAAGCTATACCTCATTTTAGTAAATCCCCAAAAAGTTTTCTTTTTTTTCTGGTAAGTAATAAGTATTACAAGTTAAGATTGTAAACTGGCTAATTCCATGACCCTAAGTTCCAGCAGTCAGCAGCTTGTCGCTCCTCCATGGTCAGCACGACAGTGCAAGGTTCATAAGCAACCATGAAAATTTCCTAGGATAAGGCGTTTAACAATACCACAAAAAATGTAAATTATTACAAGAAATTGTTAGTCGTGGTATTGACTTGATACTGATCTACCTACAGGAAAGGCGATGCAAAAGCTATGCCCCAAAAGATCCAAATGTAGATAGCATCAAATAAATATTGTTTCACATTCGATTCTAATTCAGCAACAACTATGCACCACCAGGCTGAATAAACTCAAGAGACAGTATTTCATATCAGGATGTGGCATGCTATATAGGATCCAGGTAAATGATGATCTGCTACAATTCAAACATAATTTTTATAACACAGTTTTCCAACTTAAATTTATCTTGGAAATGTTAAAATTAAAAAGGAAGCCATTTCATAGTATACTAAAAACTAGGGAAGCAAATATCCACCCAATGACTTCCAAATCAAGAAGGATTTGTTCAATAGACATAAATATGAATGAAACATTCAGTTGAACTCTGTAAATAACAATTTGGATACTAAATGTTCTCAAATGGCTCCAGCAATCTGAATTTGTAAACTCCAATACCTCTCCAATGACACAGAAAGTAGCGTTGGCAAATTTTGAGACATAACAAAGAGCTTCAAGGAAGTACGAACAAGAAAACAATACATTAGCACAGGATAACAATGAATTACAGTTTCCATATTTGCCTAACTTTACAACAAATCCCCTTTTTCTGTTCATCCGTATTGGAATGTAAAACTGAAACACTGCAAGAGATGAAACAGAACTGAACAGAGTGAGAGAATGAGTGTTGGTCTGTTGGATAAGATGAAGTGGGAGAGAGTTGAAGAAGAGAACTGCAAAGTACATATTGGCTGATTTATGTAAGAGAATGAAGAAGTGCAGAAGAGTACGTTGGCAGAAAAAATTGAAGAAAAAGACTAGCAGAGAGTACATATACCATGAGAGTGAATATAGGAAATAGGAGATATTTAATTGAAGTTTGATAAAAGAGATGAAAGGAAAACAATAGATGAGTGGAAAATTTCTTCGAATAATTATGAAGTGAGGAATTTGTTAGGATAATTTTTTTAATATATTTAATTATTAGAATAATTATATTACAACAGTACGTTGAATAAAAAGTTGCTCTCTATATTCTATTATATAATAAATCCTTGCTTTATCTGATTAAAGTGTTTTATTCTGCTTAATATATTGTATATACTGCCTCTTCCTCGACTTGTAGAAAAACATGTACCGAAATAACATAGCAACTGTACCAGCAATCATAAAAATTGGTGTACCACATACCAGTACCCGTCCTAATATCATGGCAACTGGCAAACCACAAATCAGGTAACATTGCAGAGCATTATATTTCTAGTCGACATCTCAAATAGTAACTAAGTTTTCCTGCTTCAACAGCAAAATGGGGTCTGATAAAGATAACTATGTGTGTGTATTTATATATATACGGGAGAGATTGTCAAATTGATAACTGCAGTACCTTAATTTTAGAAACATAAAATGCATTGCATAATGTCCTAATCATATAAACAGCAAAACCTGATAAAATGGCTAAACAAATATAGAATTCATTCTAGAAGGATATAAAATGTACCTCATATTGCACAGTACCACCAGATATTGCTGCCTGTCTAAGGGTAACATTGCTGATTGCACCAATTGCAGAAAGAATACAAACTGTCCTAGGTCCTTGCTGTGAAAAGGCCACGATCTTTCCAGCAATGTCCTGCAAACAACAGAAGCACTAGTGAGGAGATTTGTTACAATAGTAAGCCTCATCAAAGCCTGCTAATGGAAACTAAATAAATAGCTTAAATTAATTCCAAAACTCCACCCCTTAAACTAAGTATATAAAATTATTACCACTATATAAAATTATTCCCACACTACATGACATGATAATTCCACATCAAAACTATAAATCTGAGAATAAACCCAATATTTAGCTTTGTTCAAGAGAAGCTTGACCGATGACATCAATACTTTATTAATTTAATGTTAAAATCAATTCCTGCCTTTCTCACTGTGATGGAGGCAGAAGCTGTACAACAAATTAGGGTATATATTCACTTCTATGCCACAAACCAGGAGTAAAAAGAAGTTCAATGATATAGGATTCCACCAAGTGCCTTGTGCATTTAGGGAAATTTAAAGAGGAGGAAAAAGAGAAAAATTGATCCATTTCTCTCTATCCTGCATTATTTTATTTAGAAGATCCGTCTCCACCACAAAATGATCAGACCATAAGATAGCACAAACAAATACACCCCATAAATTATCCAATCAGTTAAATGAAGGAGTTTACCCCATTCATAGCAATAATCATACAATGATGCACTACAAAACATGCATATTATTAAGGATGTGGGAGAGAAGACAAAAGCACCAGATTAGCATTGATACATGAAACAAAGGCCACTTCTAAAACATATAACATGTGAGCTCAAGGGTTTATTCCAAATATAGGCTATAGTGGGGTTCTGTGTTCGGAGCTCTAGGGTATGCTTTTTAGTATTGAGATGGCATGGCATCTAGGCATCAGCAAGCTCTGCGCGGAGATGGACTCCATGATAGATATGGATATTGTTAAAGGATGCTCTTCTGCGCACCCTGAGAGCCAATCAATTAATCTCAATAAAACTACTTTATAAAAGGATTGTGCTGTTGGAATTACAGAGACACAAACAGTGAAGGAAACAAAGTTGCTAACAAAGTTCCTTTGCACTTTCGAAAGGAGAGGGGAAGCCAACATTTCCTGTACAGCTAAAGCTGGATACTCAATTCATTTATCCGTGCGCCTAATTGGAAAGTAATTGAAAACCTTCTTTTGAAGAAAAATAAAACAAGGCATTGAAATAGCCTTAAAAATAACGTAGATTAGTTAGACAAACTATACATTTTAGCTAAAGAAGACAATAAGCGTCAAAAGACTGTCTTAGAAATTGGACGAGTTACAGTTACAAGCAATAACAACATGCCACAATCATTCCAATCATAACATGCCACAGTTTTAAATTATTCCAATCATATATGTTAACAGTGAATCTACACAAAGATTTAATTTACAAAGTCGAAATTTTTAATGCTCTATTTGCAGATATAGCATGTTTCCCCCTCATATCCATATCTTGCGAAAAGAAGGCTCATTTGCTTCAGTTATCTTATTTTGGGCTTAACTTCACAAATCACAGACTCATGAACTGGGAACTAGGAATTTATTGTTGCAAAATACTGAGGACCATAAAATTATCACAAAATTAAACATTAAATAGTATTTACTGCGTTTATCATACCTCACCAGCTTTTACCAATATTACGTGCGGAGTAAAGCCGATACCGCCAGCTCCTGCATATCAGCAGAATAATTAACAATCGAAAAAATTCCATGAATAGAACAAAAAATCACACAGAAAACTAGTTCAAATAACAAATACCAAGAGCATCCAGCTGCCTCTTTCCAGAACCCGGTGGCCTTCCCCTGTGCTTCTTCGTTCCAGGCTCCGTAGAAGGTGTACCACTTGAATCTCCCGGGCCAGCAGAAGAGGACATGGGCGTGGGAGTCAAACCCAAAGCAATGTTACCATCCGGTGAATACTTCCTCGGCCGGCCTCTCTTCTTCTTCGTAGAATCCATACTAAGCCCACACGGCCTCATCGCGGACGATGACCCATCGTAAGGACTAACATTGTTGTTCGGATGTTCCATAGGTTTAGACGGAGCAGGGGGTTGCGGAACCACGGCGTTGAAGGGTAATCGTGCGGTGGCAGGGGCCATCATGGCGGCCGTCGAATTGGGGTTGATCATGGAAGATGTGTTCGGGTTCGGCATGGCAGAACCATACGAAGTGGGCCCCATCATCATGTTTTGCAGTGGTTGAGGGTGTCCCATCGACTGTAGCTGCGGCGGTTGCGGGGGCTGAGGCGGTTCCCGTGAATCCATTGCAGCAGATCAAAACGACAAGAGCGAGTTTTCGGAGCTTCGCAAAGCGAAATGCTCGAAGCCTGAGAAAGGCGAAGCAAAATGCAGGTTACTGGGATTCAGTATGTTATCTTCTAGGAACCCACTTTGATGAGAACGAGAGAAAGAAATAAGAGTCTCCCACGACACTCAGAGAGAGAAGGACTATGAATGAGTACGATCGAAAATTAAAAAGACTGAGGAATGAAAAACGGAGCCCAAATTCATTGATTTGAGCTTATAAAGCAGGCCAGCAGGGTTTATATTTTAGGGTTTTAGAAATTCTTTTCGTTCGCTCTGTGGAATTTGTTATCTTTTAAACTAAATTATAATTTTAAAAACAAAATAAATACTCTCCCCATCTAAAAAATATAAAACATTTTTAATTTAATAAAATCTTATTTCATAATAAAATAATTATTTATTTTAAATTAATGTCATCCTTTTATATTTATTTTTATATGATATTTTATTTTAAGATAAATATAAAATAATATATATTTACTATGGGTGCTTTTAAAAAAATGCATGTTTTTATTTTAAAATATTAAAAATGGTTTATTTTTTTTAATATTTAAATTTTTAAAATTTATATTATATTTTTTAATGGAGGTAGTGGAAGTAAGTTGGTTATTTAGCTTCCAAGAATTAAAAGAGAAAATTTAATACTTAAGCTCAGATTTTTTTTAAAAAAAAAGAACTATGCATGTTTGTATTTATGCACGTAGATTCACTTGCTTTAATTATCTAAATGTTTCGTAATTAAACTATATTTTTATATTTTTTTAATGTTTTTAGTTTTTATAATTTAAAAGCTTATAAATAAAATTTTATAAATTTATAAATGTCTGGTTTAGCGCAATTACTATCTTTTTGTTCATGTATCGATATATTTTTCTAATATTATCAATTAAAAGTTATTTTGCATTTTGAAATATCTACAATTTATATCAATAAAAGTATAAATATTTTTTTATTTTTATAACACGTAATATAGCATGAATTTCCGATTAATTTGATAATTATGTTTAAATTATATATTTAAGACGTTGAAACACGGATAATTGTACAATCAGTAAAAACTAAACCGCTACATTATAAAAAACTAAGAACAGAAGTTAAGTTATTTTTTTTTCTTTTTGAATTGTAAGAATAAATTTTGAATTTTATTTAAATTTTGGAATCAAAATTTATGTTGATTTTATAAATTCTTTTGTATAATAAAAAATCATATATATATATATATATAATTGTATAATTTAATCGTGAGTATTTTTCATAATAATTTACAAAATATTGAGTTAAAAAAAAAAGGCTAAATCAGCTTTTTTATATAGGCAATTTGTTAAAGTTTTACTTAATTTTATTGTTATGTACTATGGTTAGTTTCAAATAGCTAAAATTAAGTTCAATTAGGAACTTTTCCATGTAGAGATAGAACAAAAACAAATATAAATTGCATAAAATATTCAATTCTGTTAAACATACTTGCCCTGAAAAATACAAATATGCTCCACGTCTCTAGCCTCTAAATTAATGAAGGATGAAAGAGTAAATTATATCCTAAATTATAGGTGTAAAAACATCTAAAATTCTAAATTCATTTTTTTTTTTGCAATATTCCCTTTCAAATTTTAAAAACAATGTAATCCAATTTCTATTTCTAATAAAAGTTAATTTTAACCGTTAGTTGATTAAAAAATGACAAAAAATAACTTAAAAATTATAGAAAATGGCCAGTAAAATTTTCCTGGTGCTTTTTTTGCAATTTTTTGGATCCTTTATTATACTTCTCTGTTCAAATATGTGTAACATTTTTTAAAGAGTTGAATGTTTAAAAATATAAGATATTTTTAATTTTTTAAGGTGTAATCATTATTATTTTTGAAATGCTTCTATTGAATATATCGCTTTATATTTATCTTAAGGTGAAACATCTTATTAAATAAGGGTAAATATAAAAAATATGATTAATTTAAAAACAAGTAACTACTTTATTGAGAGTGAGATTTGTTTAAAATGTCTTATATTTTTAAACTGATGAAATTTTTTTTATTTTTGAGGTCATTTTCCATTTTTTTGTCAATTAATATTCAAATTTAATTTTTGTTAACGATATGGTCAAATTACATAATTTTCAATAGTTAAAAAAGAACATTACAAAAAAAAAACAAATTTAGAGTCCTATGTGCTCTTGAACTTATAATTTAAAAATCAATTTGCTCTTTTATCTATTAATAAATCATAATGGAAGCATTGCAAAAAAAAAAAGTTTAGAGTCTTATGTGCTCCTAAACTTATAATTTAGGAGTCAATGTGCTCTTTTATCTATTAATAAATCATAATAGAATATTGATAAATTATTTTGATTTATGTAATATATTTATTCGGCATTGGCCAAAGTGATGTAGGGCGTGCTTGGTTATTCAGCATAAAAATTTGAAAATATTGGCTGTTTTGAGAACAATTTTTATTTAAAACTAAAAAATAAAAAACATGTTTGATAAGGCATTTTTGGTAAAAGATTCAAAGAAACAAAAAATACAGTTTTGTTCTATGGAGTAAAAAGAAAACTTTAGGTGTTTTGTATATATTGTTCTTAAAGACAGCCGGGAGGGGGGAAGCATCTGCTTTCATCAAGGTATGTAAAACCGGACCGGTCATTGAACCGGTTATGGCACTGGGTCACGGGTTAGTGGTTCAATTAGGGTTGAACCGGGGGTTGAACCGGTGGCAAACCGGTCATGATTAAAATAATATAATTTAAATAAAAAGACATTAATTATAAAAATATTCAACTAAATTCAACCACTCAAAAGTCTAACAGTAATAAAATACAACATTTTAAATATCTATCATTATACTTACAACTTTTCAATCTCCAAAGTCTAGAGAAGAGATGAAAATAGAGTTGGAGAAGAGACGGAGATTGAGTTAGAAAAAAGACGAAGAGTTATAGACTAAGTTGGAGAAGAGATGAAGATAGTAAAGACAGAGATAGAGATGAAGAAGAGATGGAGATAGAGCTGGAGCCTGAAGAAGAGACGGAGACTAAGTTAGAGAAGAGACGCTGATTAGGTTAGGGTGAGAGAGGAGAGACACAGATGAAAGGCCGAACTAAATGCTGTCTGAAAATTTGAATTGAACTTAGCGTGCTCTATCTCTAATTTTTTATTTTTGACTTTAGTTTTACTTTTTTTTTGTTATTTCATTTCTAAATTTAGCACTCTGAAAAATAAAAAATTAAAAAAAAATTCTCAAAAAAAATAACCCAGTTAACCTAGTCAACCCACCGGGTTATACCGGATTAAACCCGGGTTAATCGGGTTACACCGGTTTATTTTGTCACCGGTTTAGGAGTAAACCCAAACCGGACAAGGGATCGGGTCATCGGTTTTCGGGTTGACCCGGCCGGTCCGGTCCGGGTTTCAATACCATGGCTTTCATTGATAGCATCCCGGTAAATAAAACAAACTCAAATAATATTTAGCCTTTTTCAGCTACTCATAAACAGTTTAAATATACAAAACTTTCCTAAATTTTAAAACAATTACGTTTAACTTCATTACTTTTATCAATTTAAAGTTAACTTTTCTAATCTTTTTTTTTTTCAATCATTGACTCCCCAAGTGTCATTTTTTAATTATCTTACTAACAAAAGTTGTTATATATCATATTAAGAAAAAACATGTAATAACTTATATGACATCAAATATATAATCTAATAATAACTTTATAAAAATTTTATACATAATTTGTTGGTATTATTAGCTTTTATTAGACGCTATTGGTTGCTCACCACAAATGTACGGGTCGTAGTAAATAATATAATAAAAGTAAAGTATCGTTTCCTTGAGAATTTGTTCAGAAACAATAATCAAATAAAAGACTAAACAAATTCAATCAAGTTGAGCTACACATAGTTAGGTGAAAATGATTTTACAAATGAAATTAACACTAAAAAATAAAGAAAAGTGATTGATTTACAAACTTCAAACACAAATTAGAACCTAAAATTTTTTATCCCCCTTGCATTTCATAACATCAAAATTGCCTCATCTCATAAATGCTTTTAATGAAAATAAGTGTTAACTTAGGGTTCTAAAAATACTTGGATAAGCTCTCTTAAGTCATGAACAAGTGTTTAGTTAAATTAATTGCTTAATCTCTTGTTACAATTAATAAAACTCAATTTTAAATAATAATCCTAACATGACTATGCAAGGCTAGCAAGTATATCCCTATCTTACTAGTAAAACTATCTATTCAACATGAAAATATCAAGTTCTTGCATAGTATTACTCGAGTTTTACACTCAATCTAACCCTCTCAAGCATTAATTAAGTGAATACAGCATCTAAATGTTAGTCAATCACTTAAAAGCATTAAGGAAAGAGTAAAATAAACACACACACACACACACATCATTAATCACAAAAAGAGAGGAAAAATATAGTATTAATTCATACAAGAGTTTCAAATAATCCTAAAACAAAGGGTTTAGCTACTCATAATCATCCACAAGCTATAAATATATAAAATAAGTAGACCCATTTCAGATTATAAGAGAGAAAAGGGAAGAGGAATAGAAAAATCGAAGGAAATGAGCTCCAAATATCTTCAAAGCTTAATCTCTTGATCCCAACTCTTTCAATGTCCAAACCCTAGCACAACCAAGCTCTAAATGTGTTTAAAAGTCTGAAGAATGTGTTCTAGGTCGAGCTCTCAGCATATATATGTCCTAGCCATCCAATTTTTGATAAATGAAACGCAGCGTTTTTCTAACAGCGGCGAAAGTCGCAAACGAAAGTCACAACTTTGGGACGACTTTGGCACTGTTTTTGCAGCTAATGAAAATTATTCATTTTATGTTTGATTACTTCATTCAAAAGCCTTCCAAAAACATCCATAAAGTTCTAGAAATGCTTCTAATCAAAACTTCAACCAAAATAACATGAAATTAGGTCAAAAATATCAAATCAAAATCAAGAATACAAACCCAAAACAAAATCCACATTTTCCTAATTTGGGCAATAAAAACATATACAATTGAGCCAAAATGGATTAAAATCTAAGAAAAATGTGATAAAAAGGTTAACACTACTTAAGTTGCCATGTATATTTTTTAATACAACATTGTAACTTCTGTTACTAAAATAAATAATAAATAATAGTACGAGAGTTTGTGGTTAAAAAATAAAAGGTCATGG